ACGTGGTCTGTGCAGTTCCCTATCCAAGGTTGTTACTGTGGTACTAACATGAGTGGTCCATGTTAGTCCTGACGTGGTCTGTGCAGTTCCCTATCCAAGGTTGTTACTGTGGTACTAACATGAGTGCTCCATGTTGGTCCAGACGTGGTCAGTGCAGTTCCCTATCTAAGGTTGTTACTGTGGTACTAACATGAGTGCTCCATGTTACTCCTGACGTGGTCAGTACAGTCCCCTATTTAAGGTTGTTACTGTGATACGTATGAGTGGTCCATGTTAGTCCAGACGTGGTCAGTACAGTTCCCTATCTAAGGTTGTTACTGTGGTACGTATGAGTGGTCCATGTTAGTCCAGACGTGGTCAGTACAGTTCCCTATCTAAGGTTGTTACTGTGGTACTAACATGAGTGCTCCAGGCTGCTAGATGTGATGCCATCCTATTGAGACATGTCCTCTATTTTTGGGGTTCACCCCCTACTAAACTTACTTATTCTATTATAGTGTCCTACTGGAATTCCTTGTCCTTCTCTCTTAGATGTGATGGTCCATTCTTACTTTGAATCCAAGCTGTGTACACCGATAGACTAGCACCGATACCACACCCTGCTAGAGCACCTCGCTGAACAGTACAACGTGTAACTACAGGTCAAAGGGTAGACAAACTTGTTTAAAGTCTAATCGCCGGACATTGGTGTATGCTCACTTGAGTTTAGGTTAGTGTATTAAATACCTCGATGTTGGGGATAAAAGAGGAACACTAGTTCCATCGATCGATCAGCTTGTCCCCTCCCTGCTGCTACCTAAATGTTTACCGTACCAGTTAAGAGATTTTAAAATCTCAGTCTTGATCACGGCAGACCAACAAGGCAGTTTCCAGAGACCCCATTCAATCTCTAAAGAAGTTATAATTAGGGCCCTTATAACGGTGACACCAGCCATATTTAAGCTGTAGCCATGTGTTGGTAACGATAAGGGACATTAAGGCTATAACTCCCACCCCGTCTGGACGTAGGTCATTTTCTAACCGTTATAGTACTAAGATACACAGATGGCCTACATGAGATGACGTAACCATCCCCTTTAAAATCAATCATTCTATCATCAGCTCAAGTGGAACTATATAGATAAAATTATCTACATAAAAAGTCTTTTCCCCGCGCCCCAAAAGCCACCCTAAGTGTGAAGTGTACAGAAATAAATTAGATACACTCCGTCTTTCATGGCTCTAGCAGAAAGATACAGAAAAAAAAATATTCTATCAATTCAAAGAAACGACACATGACATCGCCAAAATTGCGAATTTTACTGCGTACCACCTTGGGGTACTTTGAATAGTCCGGAAATTAACTCGCGTTTTTCGGAGGAATAAAAATTTTATTTACGAAATTGCATTACAAATAATGCGTGAATGGGGAACGCGTCTAATGCTGCTTAGATGGATGTGTCTTCTACGATTTTTCGTCAAATTTGTTTCATAATTTGGGGTGCCAGAGTAGATCAGTGCTGCAGAGTTGCTTCGTCTTACTTATCTTTATTATTTTAACTTTTGCGTCGTTCTGTGTCTGCCATTTTTCAGCACATCTGCACTTAAAATATATTCTGCTGCCCTGTTCAAGCGGAAATAACCCGACATATTGTGTAGAATCTTATTATACATTTGATGACTTCTTCTTCCTCCTCTTCTTCTTCTTCTTCCTCCTCTTCTTCTTCTTCTTCTTCTTCTTCTTCTTCTTCTTCTTCTTCTTCTTCTTCTTCTTCTTCTTCTTCTTCTTCTTCTTCTTCTTCTTCTTCTTCTTCTTCTTGGGTGTCTGGGGATGGGGGGCGGAGGGAGGGGGGACAGGGGAGGGGTGTAGGGTTCTGCTTGCTGCTTTTCTAGCCGCGTTGACAATGGATACATCGTGAAATTAAAGTTTCCTTGTTGTTACCTTTTCCATATTGTTCTTGGTCTTCCTCTTGCTCCGTGTCCCCTCCCTATGTGTGGGTATGTGTGTGTGTGTGTGTGTGTGTGTGTGTGTGTGTGTGTATACGTACGCCTTTTTAGATATGGCACCGTTTCAACTTACATAATCGTATGTTCTTGTCGATGGGTCTCGGTAGGGTTTTGTTAGTCGCTAGCTTGTCCGTTGAAGGGTTACAGTTCGCATCTGCTGCTGCTGGTTTTATGGAGGTTGGGGGGGGGGGTGTTGACCGACCATGTTCACTCTGCTGAAGACAGCATCAGTTATAATTATGGTCAGGTTTTACTTGCGGCAAGGGGAATGGCTTAAATTGACTGATGTCCATGTTGTTGTAGTTGACTGTCCCAAACTGTGCGAGATGTTGCCATATCCGAACATGTCTGCCTTCTCTCTATTGATTTTCTATCACATTAACATTGTATTGGATGACCTAAAAAGGTGCCGGTATTGCAGACCGTTGCATAGCTCTAGAAAAGAAGTCCTGTCAATCATCTCACTTTGTGACCCAAGCGCCAATACCTGACAAGGATCCCTGATGTCAACTTTCCACCATACAGACATCATCATCATGTAGGAGGTCCTTTGCAGAACGTCCCTCTCATCACAGTCTGCCTGAAAGAAACTCGGTCTCCCGCCAGTTCTCCCACCTCATATACTTTCAGACTCAAGAAGTCACTTATATCCTGTGCCCCTCTTCGTGTCGGTCGGCCCCTGCCCCTCCTTCCTGGTACCATGCCTTCTGCTATAATTTTTTCCAATCCGTCGTGGCGCTTGACATGACTAAAATATTTCAGCTTCCGAGACAGGATGCTGTTTATTAGCCAATCTTCCTTGATGTTCAGATCTTTCAAGGTGTCAGTATTTCTCCTCTTTTTTGTCCAAGATTTAATCTTTCTATAGCATTTCAGCTCAAAAGCACCTACTCTCTTTCTTAAGGACTGGGAGATAGTCAACGACTCGCATCCGTATGTAGCCACAGGGAAGATGAATGCTCTCAAAATTCTAATCTTGATCTCCTTGCTGGTGCTTAACCATAGACTTTTAAGGCTCAGACACATCTCTATAAATGGCAAATCTGTTTAGCAATAGATATTCCGACAGACTTGATCCAATGTGGGTTTTTATAATGCTAAAAACAATAAAAACTATAAACATTTTGCTTGTATATTTACTGCTTTCAAAAAGAATGTCGCCCTCTAAAATTGTTGCCGCCCTATGCAGCTGCACATGTTGCAGATGCTTAAGTAGGGCCGTGTGTGTATCACATGTTTGAACAAACAACTGTTTGTAAATTTGCTAAATACCTGGTAAATTTTGCCTGTTGTTTCCTCGGATTCAAGAGTTCTACATTCTCTCTCTCTCTCTCTCTCTCTCTCTCTCTCTCTCTCTCTCTCTCTCTCTCTCTCTCTCTCTCTCTCTCTCTCTCTCTGTGTGTGTGTATGTGTATCTATCTATCTATCTATCTATCTATCTATCTATCTATCTATCTATCTATCTATCTATCTATCTATCTATCTATCTATCTATCTATCTATCTATCTATCTATCTATCTATCTATCTATCTATCTATCTATCTATCTATCTATCTATCTATCTATCTATCTATCTATCTATCTATCTATCTATCTATCTATCTATCTATCTATCTATCTATCTATCTATCTATCTATCTATCTATCTATCTATCTATCTATCTATCTATCTATCTATCTATCTGTCTGTCTGTCTGTCTGTCTGTCTGTCTGTCTGTCTGTCTGTCTGTCTGTCTGTCTGTCTGTCTGTCTGTCTGTCTGTCTGTCTGTCTGTCTGTCTGTCTGTCTGTCTGTCTGTCTGTCTGTCTGTCTGTCTGTCTGTCTGTCTGTCTGTCTGTCTGTCTGTCTGTCTGTCCTGTCTGTCTGTCTGTCCTGTCCTGTCTGTCTGTCTGTCTGTCCTGTCTGTCCTGTCTGTCTGTCCTGTCCTGTCTGTCTGTCTATCCTATCTGTCTATCTATCTATCTATCTATCTATCTATCTATCTATCTATCTATCTATCTATCTATCTATCTATCTATCTATCTATCTATCTATCTATCTATCTATCTATCTATCTATCTATCTATCTATCTATCTATCTATCTATCCATCCATCCATCCGTCATCCGTCCGTCCGTCCGTCCCGTCCGTCCGTCCGTCCGTCCGTCCGTCCGTCCGTCCGTCCGTCCGTCCGTCCGTCCGTCCGTCCGTCCGTCCGTCCGTCCGTCCGTCCGTCCGTCCGTCCGTCAGTCTGTCTGTCTGTCTGTCTGTCTGTCTGTCTGTCTGTCTGTCTGTCTGTCTGTCTGTCTGTCTGTCTGTCTGTCTGTCTGTCTGTCTGTCTGTCTGTCTGTCTGTCTGTCTGTCTGTCTGTCTGTCTGTCTGTCTGTCTGTCTGATCTCTACCGCTTATGCAATCATGTTCTCAGACACTCAGCTTCCAACCTTCCTACAATCATGTTCTCAGACGTTCATCTCCCAGCCTTTCTACAATCATGTTCTCAGACGTTCATCTCCCAGCCTTTCTACAATCATGTTCTCAGACGTTCGTCTCCCGACCTTTCTACAATCATGTTCTCAGACACTCAGCTCCCAACCTTTTTACAATCATGTTCTCAGACACTGCGCTCCCAACCTTTCTACAATCATGTTCTCAGACGTTCATCTCCCAACCTTTCTACAATCATGTTCTCAGACGTTCATCTCCCAACCTTTCTACAATCATGTTCTCAGACGTTCATCTCCCAACCTTTCTGCAAACATGTACTCCTTTATTCATGTTTCCTTCTTGATTTCTCCTCTCCGTGCAAATGGCCTGTGACATCTTATTTCCACGAATCTACCCAGATACCTGTATCATTTACGCCCAGTTTGTACACATATTTAGATCGCACTGGTGGCTGACATCAACATTTTCTGCCCATGAAACATCAGATTAAACAAACACAAAAAAACGATTGTCTCATTCTCCGCATTTTTTCTAAATGATTTACTTGAGAGTTTGTCACATGGTCACTGTGTCCCCTTGACTTCCTCAGCCAAGTTCAGGAAAGAGTTCAAGACAGCGTGTCTCTGCTGCTTCTATGGGATCAGGAAACGTCCTTACCAGCCCCGCAGGGAGACCACCTTCACGATGACCTTCTCCAACAGCAACTACAGCAACTGCCACACAGAAGAGGTCACCCTTGCCAGTATTTGAGGATGTCCTCGAGCCGTAACTCTTCTATACTGGGACGTTTTCATTGTAAAGCTGACATTGTTGTGATGGCCGGCTAACCCAGCCAACATTTGTGGACAGAACCTTAACCAGTATTTGAGAACTTCATAGAGCTTTAACTCTCTTTTACGATGAGCCGTTTTTCCCTTTAACATCATGTTCATCTGGTTAACACGGCCAGTATTTGAGAACTTCATGGAGCTTTAACTCTCTTTTACGATGGGCCGTTTGTCCCTTTAACATGGTTACCATGGCCAGTATTTAAGAACCGTGTGGAGCTTTAACTCTCTTCTATGGTGGGATGTTTTCACTGTAAAGTTTCCACTGCTTTGATCAAGTGGTGACCCCAGCCATTATTTGAGGAGGGCGGGAGACCTAAGCCAGTATTAGGGACTTCCTTGAGCTTTAACCCGTTCAGTCTTAAACAACGTCTGGTGTGTGAATGACTCTTCCTCTTGAAAGTTTTCTCCATAGCATAAAAGTTTTTTTTTTTTTTTTTTTTTTTATATTTTTTTTTTTATAACATACAAAAAACATCTGGCCTCCCAAAATGGCCACTACTACTGTGTATGTTGCCACTTTGAATTTAATATTCATCCTGGTTTTTTCCTTCTTCACTATTATGTAGCTTGCATTCAATCTTCTGGTACCGAAAGTTAACTCTTATTTGTTCTCCCTGCTTTTACTACAAGTCTGCTAAGTTGATGACTTGCTTCCGCCTTCTGAGGCCCATTTGGATACACGGCTAATGTCCCATGCTTGTAGCGATCAGTCGACATTCGGTGGGTCATGTAATCAGAATCATCCCAGTCTGCTTTACTGTCTAGAAAATGTATCGATACCCACTGTAGACTTGGTCGCCAAGGAGCATATGTCAGTCTGATTTTAACCTTTAACCTTCGTAGATCCGCATTCAACCCTGTTTGCCAGTTAGCCTCTCAGCTACAACGATCCTGTTGGTTAATTAGCTTTTTTTTCTTTTGGGATCTGCGGTAAGTAAAAGATAAAAACGAAAAGTTCAAATCCGCATTACGTTCACATAGAGAATATAAACTTAAAATTAGCTGCATATCTTTTAATGATCTTCCCAAAACAACTCTAGGATTTATTGGCTTTTTGGTGCGGTTTGTAGACAATTGTACTTTCTGCAAATTGCCATTGCTGTCTGGCTGGCACGAAGCTCCTATGGCTGTCAAAGCAAAGCGTTCATGTCCGCTACCAAATGGTATACAGCTGACGTCGAACCTTAGTAACACAGGTCATTGTAACTGACTCACAGAGCATGTTGGGACAGTTGGAGACAAGTAGGTTCAGCAGAGTGACAAGTGTCGCTTCAGAGGTCCCGGATAGTTAGCGTCCTCTGGATAATTGTTCAATGTCATGCCGGTATGTCGGAGAATGAACGGGCGGATAGACTGGCTAGATGTTGTAAGGGGGATCTGGGGGAGCGAGTGAACAGTGCGGAGACAAACATGAATCATCACTGTCTGAGGAGATTGAGGCCATGAGGAATGACCAGAAGCTCGGGTCGATGCTCATTACTCGAGCTAAAGGCGAGACGGATATACAATCAGATTGTAACTAGCACTATCAGAGTTGGGAATGCCTGCTTGCTGCGGACGATAAGGACGGGGCGCTTATGTGAATGTCCTGAGTGCTGTGATGTCGATTCTTAAATAAACATTAAGCATTAAACCTTGATGTGTAAGAATTGTGAAAACTGCGTTCACAATCGCTATGCCACAGACGACAGCAATGAATTAGAATAATATAAAATAAGCATGTGTTGTTTCACACACAAACGTCACAATCGACGAAGTTGGCAGTATCATCTGTGGGTACAAATATTGACAACAATGAGTCCCTTCTAACAACAGTGAAAATACAGTTTCTTTAAAACGAGACTGTATGACTCCATAAAGGGGGTGTAGGGAAAAAGGAGAAAAGATAGATCAAGAAAGACCTGAGTCTGGGCAGTTTTCAAACACGCAAACAGTAAGTCCATTGCATCTAATCGACAAGCAATCAACAGCATCTAGTGACCCAGCGACATGTAGTGTTATGGGACCTTGTGACGATGTGTCAGACGCGTGCCCAGTTTTGGTCACTTACTGGTAGGGGAAACGATGGACAAACTGACCAGCTGGTCATAGACAGAGAGACCAGTGGTGTGGGGAGGAAAAGGGGGAGGGGAGCAGCCAGCTGGTCATAGGGGCACAATATGCCTACTGCTGGCATGCCTACGTTATTGAGACTGGAGTGTAGCTTGAGAAACATTTGCCTGAATGCCAGGAGCTGCCTCAATCTGGATTCCAAAGACCGCAGAAGTTCACTTCCTGTCCAGAGTGATATACAAACAACATGCCAGATTGTGAGCCAGACTTTCCAACTTTTAGTAAGGCTAGAAGACAGAGAAAAGAACGGGCAGAAAAGAATAAAGAGTAGGAGAGCGGTAATGAAAAAGTTTACAAATGTAATTAAATTAACAGATCAAAGACTGTTATACTCTCATTCTTGTTTGTAATTTAATTCAAACATCAAAGTCTGGCAAAAGCCATAAAGGGACATTTAACTACATCTTGTGAACGTTTTCTTATTCTGATTCCTGGAAGTTATTGTGTAATTTTATGACTGTACTAACATCCCAGTTGATTGTGATTGTATTTTGTTTTTGTTTTTAGTACAAAATCTGTTTCAAGCCAAATAATATTAATCACATGTATTTATTGTCATGTTTATGTTGGTGTGACTTTCGTGTCATGTTTATTTATAGAGAAATAAATATGTAGTTCTTGCATAACTTAACGTTTTATTGTGTGTGGTTTTCATGAAAGTGTTGGAAACTTCATCGTCTTCTCATAGTTTTGTGGGTACGTGTGTTTTTGTTTTTTCCCCTCATAGTTTTGTGTGCGTATACACGTGTTTTCAGTTTTGTGTGCGTACAAATGTGGTTCTCCTAGTTTTATGTGCGTATAAATATGTTCTCATAGTTTTATGTGCGTATACATGTGTTCTCATAGTTTTGTGTGCGTATAAATGTGTTCGCATAGTTTAATGTATACATGTAGTTTTCTCGTAGTTATCTGTGGAGGTGTTTTTCTGGCAATGTTGTGTATGCCAGGTGTTTTTCTGTCAATGTTGTTTGGGCCAGGTGTTTTTTTGGCAACGTTGTGTGTGCAGGTGTTGATGTGCTAATTTTTTGGGTACCTGTATTCTTATCTGGAACCGCCGTTGTGTAGCGGCTAGATGCTTGCCTGAGAATCCTAAGATTGTGGATTCAAATCCGAATGGATCTTGGTCCCAGGTTGACGGGGCCTTAAATGTGTACCAGGTAAAGTCCTGCCAAGTATGGGCGACAGGAGTGGAGTCGATTACATCGCTCAACTAGTGTCGATTGGTCTACAAAATATAGGTCTGGCCCTATATGCCGTATACGAATGAAGGCATTGGAGACCGTCATTTACTTGTTTGTTATCTGTACAGAACTGTATGTATACATGTGTTCTTCTCGTGTTTTTGTCATGATTGTATATGCTTAACTCTGTTATAATTTTGCGTGTGCAAAGTATTCTCTTTCTGGGTTTTAGGGATACGCGTGGGTCGTTGTTGGAGCTAAGGAGTTTCGTACGTTATGTGACACTTTTGACATACGAACAGCCGCCCTGCTGATAGAGACTGGTAATGTGGGTCTGGCGTTTAAGTTTTCTCTGTGGGTGTGGAGGATAGGGGGGAAACTACCACATTATTCAAAACAGCAAACTCGCATAGCATTATCATCAGGTGCCTTGCCGACTGACGTGGGCGATCATGTCCCTCCACAATCTGCGATCCACAACCGCATGTACAAGTGTGTTGATATCCCTCCATGCCATGACTAAAGGCTGTCAAGAATCTCTTTGTGCTGCCTTCCTCTGTCTCTCTTTCCACAGATCTTTCAGTCGTAACAACATGTCGAATTTCCCTCTTCTCATAACATGGCCAAAACATTATGGCTGTCTCTTTTTGATGTTTGTGATAAGTCGTCTTCGAGTCCTCGCTTCTTTCAAAACATCTGGGTTGCTTTTTTTTTTTTTTTTTAACCTGCCAATTCTGATAATCCTTCTGTAAAACCACATCTATGGAGAGATAACGTCCAGACAGACCTGCAAACACTTGATGTCACCAACTAGAAAGAGAAGGCCAACCAGAGAGATGGATGGAGGCGGCTGATATCTGCAGCAAAGAACTTCAAGGGCTCGGAACGATGAAGAGGAAGAAGAAAAACGACATCTCTAAAGCCTCAAGAAATTGTTTGTCTTGTTTATGAATTGTCCAGGATTCTCAACCGTACGTTAAAACTGTTTTGTCGTGAATTTTTTCTCTAATCTCCAATGATGTGAATGTATTGCATAAAATATTCTTCATTTGATAAAATAGCAACCTAAAATAAGCAGGAATACTTCAGACAGTTTAATCAATGGTTGAAATGTTTAGAGGAAGGAACGACAAAAAGATAAAAACTTGCACATAAACAGCCATCGAGACCTGTGTACCAAATGTACAGTAATTTAAAGGAATAAAAATCAATACATAAAACTGTCCAAAATGCCCATGCCACCTCTGAAGATTATTAATCCTAAAGATACAATCGTCAAGTATAATCAACAAATATAATAAGAGCATAATAACAAATCAACTCTTCTAATGGCACAATGCTAGTCAGATTATCTAAATATTCCTAACAACATTAAAACTACATGGCTAAGCACCAGCAAAGAAATCAAAGTTTAAATTTTGAGAACATTATTGTTCCCTGTAGCACAGCTGTTCTAAACCTGTGGGTCGTAACCCTTTTGGGGGTCGAACGACCCTTTTACAGGGGTTTCCTAAAACCATTAGAAAACACATATTTACTGAAGTTATGAAGTAGCCACGAAAATAATTGTATGGTTGGGGTCACCACAACACAAGGAACTTTATAAAAAAAGTAGCCTCATTAGGAAGTTTGAGAGCCACTGCTGTATCAACATACAGATGTGAGACCTGGTTTCCTTCAGGCAGACCGTGATGAGAGCGACGTTCTGCAAAGAGCGAGCTGCATGAACTGATGTTAGTAAGATTATCTAAATATGCATAGTACAATTTCTACCTTAATCCCAACACCAAACGATTTTTAAAACAAGCAATATTAAAAACAATAATACAAATTACATAACCGTTATAAATAAACAATTACGTGATGTATTATATATATATATATATATATATATATATATATATATATATATATATATATATATATATTCTGAGAACTCGATGGATATATATCCCAATTATAGGCCTGGGGGTTGAGCAGAATATTTGTATACAAATTACCACTACTAATAAAAGAGAATGCTAGTAAGAAGAGGCAGTGGTCGACCACGACGAAGGTGCTCACTGGATATTCTCGACACGTTAGGCATAAAGTGATACGAGGTATGGGAATTAAAATCACCATGCGCGAGGGACCAGAGGTTAAAGGTCACTCATCATCGTCGTGTGCCATGGCGAGAAACGGATTTCCTTCTTATCATCCACACGCTGTAAACAAGGGTGGAAAGTTTTGATTCTTCGTCCACTTCTGGACTTTGGTATTTTTCAGAACTTGAGTTTTACAGTTCTGACATATTTGTGTGTAGATTGTTGGTCCCTTGCCTCTCATGCAGATGCACTCCAGTTTCGCAGGAAACACCCCTAATTAATTGCCTTTTACGACATGCTTTTTTGAATGCGGTGGATCTCTTCTAATTTTTCCCAGCATGGGACCCCAGAAACCACACGGGGAGAATCACGGATAAGATCTGTGTTCTTGTTTTCTTCATGGCATAATGCCAAGCATGATATTTATCTTCTTTTCATAAAAGTTAGTTGCGTATCCTTTACAGGAGACCAACGCAATACAAATCGTCCACAGCTGGGATCGAGCCCGGCACAAAGGCCATACGAAGCACGTTTCACTGTCTAAGTCACAGAAACTGACCCCCTCTTCATAGTGGGTCCAAAAAAACTCATGACACTCATTTTTTGATCAGTTTACTGTGTTTCCCCAACAGCTGCATTCAAACCTGCTGCATCCAGATGGCAACGCAGTAGAAGGAATTATATTTCAGTCAATGATCCTAATCTTCTATACATTCATCAGTGGACTAAAGTGTGTCCCCTTGGCAGTGAAACCAATGACAACGGTCATCTGATAGTCATGATTCGTGATGATGATGATAAAGATGATGATACGTAACTAAGGCTCAGGGGAAGTAATGCTAAAAAACTCCTTCATAATGTTGAGAGCAATGTCCCTTGACTAATCGTCTGCCGACAAACCGCAGAATAAAAACAAGTCAAGTCTTCAAGTTGACGATATTTCTTCGAATATTAACTTATTATTCATGGCCATCCACCTTATTCTGGACTAGTGACATACTCACTGGTTTGATACAAGTCTCTTCTGATTTTTGGCACAAGTAAGACACTGCTGTGTTTGACTCGAAACTTGTTTTTCGCCATGCTCGTACTGGTACCCAACCAAGCCAAAGCTAAATTAAAATTTCTGAAAAGTTATAATATTAATATATGATTATATGTACTCAAGTACTGCTCATCCCCTTGAGGAGTGCAGTTTTTCGTTATTTTGAAGCCCCACCCTGGCTCTTGCCAGGGGCCGCAATTTAGCCCGGCCATAAATATGGTCTAATAATGGTTGAACGCGGTTTCCGGACCTCTCCACGGTGATCCTCATCCAAATGTTAGCATTTTGTGTCATCGGGTGTTTATCGCTTGTGTTATGTCCTAGTGGGGTAAAATGTACTACTACTACTACTACTACTATTAATTCTGAAGAGAAGGAATGACTGAATCATTCACTGAATGAGATCAGCTCTGATAACTAGCCAAGCTAGAAGCCTCTAACTTTTATGAGAAATACATAAAGGTTTCATAAAAATATTACTGAAGTACTTCTGTCAAATCTAAGCTAACATATCCATTCATCTGAGCTTGCGATTTCCAGAAGTTCTGATGCTGCCTGTCACTCACTCATTGTTACTTGTTAGTGTTCAAATATTTTACTGTTACATGTTATCGTTCACATACATCATAGACAAAGTGATCTCAGGGACTACCATTTGCAGGTGTGCCACACCAAGATGGACTGAAGCATACTCTCAGGTTGCCCTGATGTTTAACAGTCTAGAGACAAGGCTGTGGGTCGCAGCTGCGACACTACAAGGTTGCTGGTGCCCACCTTGAAGCTGGGTTCACACGTACTACTGTAATGGTCAGAACAAATAGTCTTGTCTTGTCACTATAGCAAAAAGAAATCAGGTCCACTTCATAAAGCCTAGCTATTCAATTGGCAGCCCACAAGCCACATCTGGCCTGAGGAGACATAGCAAATGGCACCCAGATCATTGCCAGTTGTATTATGCTGGGGCTAGGATCTTTGGCCTGTGACAATCCCCATTTTCAGTATTTTTGCCCCTGAGTAAATTTAGTTAACTAGCCCTGATGTAAACAGTCCAGTGGCTTATTCTTTGTGCAGCTCGGGGCTGCAGTGAGCCATAGCATTTATACTGACCTTCAGGCATGGTAGTCATGCGTTTCCATTCCCAGATTGTTGGGTTTTCCCTATTGATCTGAGCTCTAGAGTATATCTTGTCTAAAATAATAGTAAATTTCCTGGAAAATGAAATTGTTGTGTGAAATTCACTATATCAGTGTTTCTCAACTTTTTTACCCTCCATGTCCCACCAAAACAGGAAAAGTTGTTTTACAGCTCACCTAACAACTAGCTAAATTCGGAAGTGAAAACAAACATAGGCAGCAGTTTCTTTGTTTAATTTACTGTCACAAAATCACAATTTTGACCTGATGTGACATCTTTTGACCTGATGTGACATCTTTTGACCTGATGTGACATCTTTTGATTCTCATCCTTGGGGTAGTGATCCTACAGACTGCAATCCTGGAAAGAAAAGAAAAAAAACTGCCTACTATAGCCTGTTACATGATAAGGCTGAATGTTTCACTGCCCACCTACACTTTTCCCACTGGTTGAAGAACACTGAACTGTATCACCTTTCTGTGTAACAAATCTGACCTAGCATCCAGTACCGGATACAAACGTGCTGAACCACACTTGATGGATCAGCATGATCAGGACTCCTACTCTAGCCATCCTAGAATGTTTCTTTACAGGGGACTTGATCTGTCCACACCTCTCCGCAGACATCCTAGAAACTGTTTCTCTAGTGGGGACTTGATCTGTCCACACCTCTCTGCAGACATCCTAGAAACTGTTTCTCTAGTGGGGACTTGATCTGTCCACACCTCTCCGAAGCCATCCTAGAAACAGTTTCTCTACAGGAGACTTGATCTGTCCACACCTCTCCGCAGACATCCTAGAAACTGTTTCTCTACTGGTGATTTGGTCAGCCGATAGAATCAGCTATTCATTTACAGCATACTGCATAATCTTTTGAGAGAAGAAACCAAAAGTCTGCACACAAATAAGCTATATTTGTAACACAGATGTGTACTCAGTACTCATGCTGGGAAAAGGCGGCAAAGTCCAGGAGTGGACGGACAGTCCGAACTTTCTACCAGAGTTTACAGCCAGTGAATGCTAAGAAGATGAAATGTCTAATACCCCTGTTGGTCTGGACGGTTCTTTCCCAACTATACTTGACAGTTTCATAGAAAGTTGTTTCTCACAGAATAGACCGCATATCCTGGGTGTACCAGCTGGGGCAGTGAGACAAACATAAACCATACGGGAGCCACCCATCATTACATGAACCAGAACATAATAGGAGTTGTTAGCCTAAAAACACTTGGATATACACAGGAGGAGAACAAACTGCTTACCTTGGGTGTACCAGTTCAAGCAGCAAGACAACAACAAAAACCATGCGGAAGCCACCCATTGTTTCATGAACCAGAACATAATAGGAATTGTTAGCCTAAAAACACTTATACATACACAGGAGAAGATCCGAGCACTTACGATCATGTCCAATGTGTGATAAAAGTGATATTTAAGTAAACAATGAACTTGACATCCAACTCAGTTGACTGTGTGTAGGCATTGTTTGTGTATGTAATATCAGTCATCTCTGGTAATGATGAATTCACTTACGACTGATGTGTCTCATGGTTTTAGCAAAATGATGAATTCACTTATGACTGATGTGTCTCATGGTTTTAGCAAAATGATGAATTCACTTATGACTGATGTGTCTCATGGTTTTAGCAAAATGATGAATTCACTTATGACTGATGTGTCTCATGGTTTTAGCAAAATGATGAATTCACTTATGACTGATGTGTCTCATGGTTTTAGCAAAATGATGAATTCACTTATGACTGATGTGTCTCATGGTTTTAGCAACACCTTGGCACTAACATGGCACACTCGGAGCGAGGCCGGGGTGCAGCTCGAGTTCGTGGTGGTCAACCAGGTTTTGGACAGTCGTCAGAGCATCCCTCAAACACTGTTCATCCCTCCATACTAAAGCAGGCTCGGAGAACTGGCATCCTCAACCTTAGCCAGCGAGGACTTTCTGTTGGTCAGTCCCAGTTTGTTTTTGTTGTAGGAAAGACAGACAAAAAATGACTATCTGGAAATAACTAATAAAAATAGAATATGATATTCTCTGTGTAGGTTTCAGAGCCCCTTTGGGAAAAAAAAGCGGGCGCGATGAATAAACCCAATACCTTTTAACATCTTAACAAGTGTCTTGAAAACAGAGACTATAAGGAAGGTAGGACTAATTAAGGAAGGAATATACAAAAAGTATATTGGAAATTATTGCCTGACAAATGTTGTATCTCATGGGTGTGTACTACAATAAATGATATAAACGCGAACAAAAAGTATATTAGCAAGCTTCACAATTTAACAAATACAAACAAACTGTACAGTACGAATCAGCATTAATAGGAAGCATTTCCTTATGAATGTCCTTTGTAGGCAGCCCACAACTCCCACCCCAAAAAATGAACAACAGCGCATTATTCTTTGAGGGTACACTCCGTACTACAATAACAACACCTGGATATGCATGAGTAAAAGGTAATAAAAAAGCTGACCAGCTGGCTGGCCAGTAATGCACCCTTGCAGACAGGAACAAGTATGGACACAGCTGATATCATCAGTGCTGTACGGACTTGGCTGGAGGTTAAGGATGAATCTCAGGGGCTAACAGGATTGTGTGACTTGGGAGTAAAGCTTGGCAAAGCACGTCTATGCCATCTTGACGGTCAAGACAGGAGACACTGTAACCAACTTCTCATGAAAACAGTCAGTAGAAGAACAAGGGGAAATCAATAAGTACGTCACAAATGGTTATTTTAAAAAATAAAAAAATAAAGATGATAACAACTTGAAAACCGTTTATTTTTACAAATACACTGTCCCTTTATTTTTCAACATAATTTCCACCACCATTGATCTTTCCTCCCAAACCTGCTGCATAGAACTATATGCTTTTGTCTAAACCACATTTTCACTTCACATTCAACTTCTGCATCATTCATGAAATGTCCTACCAAGGTGGTTTTTCAGTGGATCAAAAAGGTGGAAATAGCTAGGGGCTAAGTTGGAGCTGTAAGTAGGATGTTCCAGAAGTTCCCACCCTAGATGGTTAATTTTCTACTGAGTTACCGAGTCGTATGTGGTCTAGCATTGTCATGAAGGGGCAGCACTCCTCCAGTCAGCAGGCCTGGATGTATGTTTTCTTCGAATGGCATTATAAAGCATCGATAAAACTTTACAGTACGAATCAGCATTAATAGGAAGCATTTCCTTATGAATGTCCTTTGTAGGCAACCCCCCCCCCCCCCCCCCCTTTCCCTTCCCCCCCCCCCCTCCCCAAAAAAAACTGCACGCTGTTCTATGAGGGTACACAGTGAAAGTGCATTTGCCATTTTGTTTCTGTCTTACGAATGTGCTAACAAACGGAGACATAAAAGTTCTCTGTTGTCGTCACAAAATGACACCTTCAGAAACCACCAGCTACATTTTCCTGCCGTCCTATTTGTGACTGACTTATTGACTCCCCCTCGTACCTTGGAGTGACTGCTGCATCCGAGGACTGAGCATGCATAGGAATGCCCAATGTGCAGTGTCATCACTGTGATAACATAACAATAACAACAATTTTGCTATAGTATGTATCTAATGAGATACAACAAAATTTGCCAGTTATTTTTGACTACTTTTTTTTAAATTTACAAGTGGGAAACATTGCTTTGACTAATTATGGATTGCTGAAATCAGATGTACTGGGTAAAAAAGCACATATATCGCAGGCTTGCTGTAAACTATAATGAGCCAACCACCTTTTTGAGGCTACATCCAGAAAAAGAAAAGAATTTAATATAATTCTGTTCGAAAAAGAGGCAGTGTTTACTGGTCGTGTGTTGGAAAGTTAGTTAGCTAGTCAACAGATTATCCTTGTTGCTCCGATCCCCTCCTTAGTAAATCACTCAGCATGTAGCGACTCAGGACGCCAATTCTATGTTGGTTTCTGATTCTTCTTTGGCTTCCTGCATAATGCTCTTGTCTGGTCACACCCCTTTCAACATTTTCTTGTAGTCTCTTCAAGGTTGCAGATTCACAGTCACCACCTGGTTCTTGCAAATGTCTTACTTACTCATATGATCTGCTGTCTCCTGATATAGTTTAGTACTGGTTCTGTTCTGCTTTCATTTCTGATATTATCAGTTTTGATCGTGTCTCTGATGTCAAAAGGCGAACGCAGTAACTTACCAACTCTCCCCACTGCTAAAACACCCAAGAAATATGGCACTAAAACGACAACTGATAAATTGCATGTTTATACCAACCCTCTGCTATCAATGCCAAACCTGGTCCCTAACAAGAGCACAGGAGAAAAATATCACGACGTGCGAAATGAGATGCTTACTTAAGGCTGCCAATGTCACAAGGAGAGACAGAGTTCGAAACGAGAACATTAGAGCAATTGTAGGAACCACACCATGCCTGCAATACATAAAGAAGCAACAAATAGAGTGGTTTGGCCACTTGATGCGAATGCAAACCGACCAACTGCCTCTACGAGCATACAACGAACAGCACTACTGCCCTAGAGCAAGAGGCAGACCGAGAGTACGATGGATAGACAATATATCAGAGATCCTGAGGCAACACGGACTAACAACAACACGTGCAACACACCTGGCCCAGGATAGAAAACTGCGACTCCCCACTACGCTGTGAGGCAATTGTGGACAAGACAAGACAAGACAAGATCCTGTCTCTCTTCATTACATTTCATTTCTGTTGTTTCTTTCATCAATAATGTCCAGCTTGTCACTGGTAATACAGTGTTGGTAAAAATTATTGTTTAGTTCTCCCAGACTGTTTGACAGAAATTAAAAGGAGGATGGCCATAAAGATTGACCAGCCTAAAAAGTCTATGGTTAAGCACCAGCAAGGAGATCGAAATTAGAGAGTATGCATCTTCCATGTAGCAACATACAGATGTGAGTCATGTACTATCTCCCAGTCCTTAAGAAAGAGAATAGGGGCTTTTGAGCTGAAATGCTTTGGAAAGAACCAAAAATAGAAGAAATACTGATATCTTGAAAGATCTGAACATCAAGGAAGATTGGCTAATAAACAGCATCCTTTCTCGAAAACTGAAATATCAAGCGCCACGACAGATTGGAAACAATCATAGCAGAAGGCATGTTACCAGGAAGGAGGGGCAGGGGCCGACCGACACGAAGATGGGCACAGGATATAAGTGACTCCTTGAGTATGAAAGTGCATGAGGTGGGAGAACTGGCGAGAGACCGAGTTTCTTTCAGGCAGACTGTGATGAGAGCGACGTTTTGCAAAGGACCTGCTACATGATGATGATGATGTTCTCCCAGTAAAAGTAAAGGACTTTTTTCCAAGCCTTCAGGTATGTTGTGCATATAGGGTTAGACCTATATTTTGTAGACCGGTCGGGACTTCGCGGTGGATATGGTTGGTCAACATCACGCCGGTCACCTTTGCTTCCCAGGACTCTAACTGGTAACCATTTAAGGCTGGTTTGACGTGGCAGCCAAAATCGTTATTTTTCAAGTCCAGCTCCTTTTGGATTTGAACCCATGACCTTTGGGTCCACAGGCAAATGCCTACCATCTCCACCACAGCAGCTCCCACCTTCTTCCAGTGATTATGCCTTATTCTGTTTACCTTCTTCCAGTGATTATGCCTAATTCTGTTTACCTTCTTCCAGTGATTATGCCTAATTCTGTTTACCTTCTTCCAGTGATTATGCCTAATTCTGTTTACCTTCTTCCAGTGATTATGCCTAATTCTGTTTACCTTCTTCCAGTGATCATGCCTAATTCTGTTTACCTTCTTCCAGTGATTATGCCTAATTCTGTTTACCTTCTTCCAGTGATTATACCTAATTCTGTTTATGTTCTTTCAGTGATTATGCCTAATTCTGTTTACCTTCTTCCAGTGATTATGCCTAATTCTGTTTGTGTTCTTTCAGTGATTATGCCTAATTCTGTTTACCTTCTTCCAGTGATCATGCCTAATTCTGTTTATGTTCTTTCACTGATTATGCCTAATTCTGTTTATGTTCTTTCAGTGATTATGCCTAACTCTGTTTATGTTCTTTCAGTTAATGTGTTTACCATTGCTTAAGTCTCTTTGTTTTGCTGGAGTAACTTAGTTCCGTTGTGATTAGTTCCATTGTGATTAGTTCCAGAGACTGTGTGGACTGTGCAAGAAGATGTGCCAGAGGACTCTAAGTGTGTCTCCATGGACAACACAGATGACAAATGGTGGGACACTTTGCCTTTGACTAAACTCATTCTGGCATCCAATCGACTGTCTTCACTGGGGGAGGGTCTCCGAAACCTGGCCGCTCTGACTGTGCTGGATGTAAGTGGGGTATTGTGTGTGCGTGTGTGTGTGTGGTTGCTATATGGCTTTCCAGCTGAAATGCTTTATAAAAAATTCTTAGAATACCACTTACCAAGAAGAAAAGAAATATTAACATCTCAACAGATCTGAACGGGAAGTAAAATTTCTTGTCTGGGAAACTAAAATATTTTAGATACATCAGTGGCTGAGGTCTCATAACCGACATGTTATCTCAGAAACTGATTTATTTTGGCTGTATCAAATGCCACAGTAGACTGCAAAGAACAGCAGTAGAGGTACTAGAAAATATGGGCAGAGGTTGACCAGCATGAAGATGGGCATAGGATATAAGAGACTGCTTTGGCAGGAAAGTTCAGAAGGCAGGAGATCTGGCAAGAGACTGAGTGTCTTTCAGGCGGGCTGTAATAAGAGTGACATTTTATAAAGGACAGGGAACATGATAATGGCAAAGGTTGCTGTTTGTAAAGGTAAAGTTGGGAGATGTGAACCAGCGTCATTGCACACAGTTATAAACCATAAGTGCTCTGCCACCAGTACAGACAGCTGATAAGAAATTGTCCGCCTGTGTCACCGTCCGCACGTAACTCCGTAGCTACAGCAAACTTCCTCCATTGACCCCAGAGTGTGTACCCTGGAACCCATTACCTAGAGGTTGGGGGAACCTTGGGAAACCGCCCAGTTTCGAACACCGGCCTTGGGCTGCAGCGAGCCTCCTATCGATGCGGCCCCCTAGGTTGCTGTTTGTTGTGCCCTGTTTGTTGTCATGTAAACCCTCACAGTCCACAGTGAATTCATTCACCGGCGAGAATTGAGCACCATTTTCCCTCCGTGACCAAAAAGCTGCCTGAAATTTTTCTGGAAAGAATGGAGGCCAGCATGATACTGACTAAAGCTTCCTGGAGACTGTTGGCAAGAAACATGAAAATGTAGACCTGGCACCGTAACCCAAGTACATTAACCCATAGAAATGACCTAGACAGAGTCAGGGTCTCGTGGTTACAACAGTATTTATGCTAACTGGTTATCTTCTGTAGGCATTACTAGAAAAAACATTGAATGAGGGGAGAGAACAAACAAGAAGAGAATTGACTTGATGAAACCATCGCATATTGAAATATATTGTGATGTATCCGATTTCTGTGATGCCTATTTTGATTCTTCTTTCCCAGATTCATGACAATCAGCTGACCACGTTACCCAAGGCTCTTGGTACCTTGGAGAACCTCCAGAAGCTGGACGTCAGGTATCAGTTTTCTTTGACGATTTTACTTTGTGTACATTTTGTATGGTTAGTGAACATGTTTCACAATGTATGATGTCCCAGGGTTCAGTTTCCACAGAGGATAATCTGGAAAGAGATTGTTCTGCTGACTTCTGAACACTGGGATGAGAGTCACACCATGGAAGTGTTTCCTCCACAGCTTTGAGGGTTTTATTGTCAACAGAACTTGAATCTTATGTCCAGGTAACAATAACAGTTTTAAAAAAAAGATATTTTACAATCCTGTCAACGACCCCTTTTTATGCCTTAAGTGTGTTGGGCACATGTGACGAGAGCTATATTTTTATGCCTTAAGTGTGTCGGGCACATGTGGCCAGAGCTATATTTTTATGCCTTAAGTGTGTCGGGCACATATGACTAGAGCTATATTTTTATGCCTTAAGTGTGTCGGGCACATATGACTAGAGCTATATTTTTATGCCCTAAGTGTGTCGGGCACATATGACTAGAGCTATATTTTTATGCCCTAAGTGTGTCGGGCACATATGACTAGACTAATCAGCAATTGATGGGTGATGCAGTTGACATCACACCTGCTGCCTTCAATTCTCAGTACATTACCTGGTAACCATTTTATGCTGAGTCGACCTGGGGTCAGTTTGATCTCAGTGCCTAGACCTTTGGACTGACATGCGAGCATCTAATTGCTATGATGTAGCTGCCATCCCAGGTGGAGATAAATGCTGTAAATAAAAGAATTGTTAATAATGTTCCATCTCCACAACAGAAGCTGGTTACAGTGTGGATCTACTACTGTTGTTGTCTTGGGAATATTTCGCAGTGAAATGTTCTCACTGCCATGTGGCGGTCAGGGAGATTCAGTTACAGTTTCGGGCTCTCATGCGGGAAACTTGAGTTCGACCCCTGGTAAGGTGGTGGCCATTTTTTCTGTCAGGGGTAAAAATCAGCATCTCAACCTGCACATGGCGACAACACTAGCCATGCAGTCCTAAATCCTCAGCCCCGCCCCGCCCCGCCCCCCCCCCCTCCCGGTCTACATTACTCTAAAAAAAATGGTGTATATATGCGCAAGAGAGAAGGACAATGATTCTGACTGTATGACACTGAACAATTGAAACCTGATGAATAATGACAAGATGTTACGTTGACATTCCCAGCCACAATCAGCTGCAAGAGTTTCCTGATTGCATTGGACGCTTAACCAGCCTGCAGACACTCAATGCAGATCACAATCAACTGGTCATTATCAGCGAGGAAGTCTGTAGTCTCCGGCAGCTGGAACACTTGGTAATCAGCTTTTCTGTTTTTGTCTCAGAGACAGTTTTTCAGAAAATTAAGAAAATGTCTAGTCACTTTCATCAGTGTCATCATCATCACTGTTATCATCATCATGTTTCAAGTCCTTTACAGAATATCTCTCTTAGCGCAGCCTGCCAGAAAGATGCTCAATCCTTCAACAGTTTTCTTTCTTCTCTAGTCCTGCTGTGTCTCTTAGTATCGTGTTTGGAAGATTTGTCAGGTGTGAAACTTGGTGTCTTGTAATGACTGCCCTTTTGTGTCTCCTCCACACTGACTATCTGTGGTGCAGAGTTAACACTGGCTCTAATATCTAGAGGTTCACAACTCAATCAACGCAGACATGATCCTCTTCATGGTCACACAACGTCTAACAACGGTTAACACCAGCGGCACATTTCACGAGTTTATTTACACGTTAGCTCAATACACAAATCACAGGTGAATCCACTTACAGCATTCGGACAATAGACGTTGACATATTCACAGCTGGCTTTGACAATCAAACAGGGTACCATTCACAGCTGGCCTTCTCGATCATTCATTCCTCGCCGATTCAAATCCACATGCTCTAGTCATTCTCCATTCATCTTCACAGCTTCATTTTCCATCCTTTCTCTCTGGGGCCCAGTCACCGAATGCCCGCCTGATTCTCAATCCCCCAGATCTCCTCATTCACACGTGACACACTCTTTCCTGTCGTTTCACCATATCTCAGTGAAACACATGCTCTCAGGGACTTCCCCAGTTATGCCAATCATCCCCTGACATTATCCCTATTTATAACATCATTACATCTCTCCTCCCCTTAAACAAAAAAAAATATGCAATATTTTTTTTCCCATAACCTATATAAATTTCCATATAAGAATATATTGCCTTATTTTACTAATATGTTTACTGTTGGCTGGAATTCTACCATTGGTTCTCTGACTTGTACCACATATGCAGCATCTCTTGTCACTCCCCTTGACAGTTCTTGGCAATATGCTAACAGAATCACCTCCCCAAAGCGTTCCTCAACAACGCGGATGACCTTATAGGCTCTGTGACGTACTTATCAAGTCCTGAAGTCAGTCTACCTAAAGAAGACTGAACAACACCCCAAAGCGTTCCTCAACAACGCGGAAGTCCAAAAATGGCTCCAAAACCAGACTTATAAATCACACAGTTCTGTATGTCCCCCATAGAACCAAGTTCCTGTTGACAGTTCATTCAAAGTGATTGCTACTCCTTGTTGGTCTTCGTCATTCACCATGGTTTATACCAAAGCTTTGTCAGAATTTACTCATTTTAGCATTGTGGCAATTTCATTTTCTGTTTGTCCACTATATAATAGATATTTCCAAATTTCTATATCTGTAATTTACTGTTAATAAAATTTCTATTATAACCTAATGTGTCTATTGGTTTTTTATAAACTCATACACCATCTTTCAGTTTTATTTTTAAATTCATACACCATTCCTCATTATCACTTTCACATCATAACTTTCATACCATCACATTATACAACATTTATTTTATTTGAATATTAATTGTTAGTAACAACACGTTTATTGAACATTTGTTAGTAATGTTAGACTGTTACTTATAATTATCTCCCTTTTCTATTTAACTCCCCTTGTGATTATTTCTGTTTACTATCTTTATAACCTAGACATAATATCTGGAATGTGGTTGTCAACCCCTTTTACATGCATAATGTCAAATTTAAACTGTTGCAGTAACAATGCCCAGCGGTAAACTCTAGCGTTTTTATTAGCATCTATGTTCTGCAGTTTTACCAATGCAAGATTATCTGTGATGATTGTAAATTCTTTGCCGATTAGGAATTTTTGAAATTTTTTCAAACTGATCACTACAGCTAATGCCTCTCGCTCGAACGCACTATATTTCTGTTGCGCTTGGGTGAGTTTTTGTGACATATAATATACAGGTAATAAAACATTAGAATGTAACTGAGCTAGCATTGAACTTATGGTATGCAAACTCGCATCAGACTGTAAATAAAATCTTTTTGATATGTCTGGCTGTCTGAGAATTGGGAATGTGGAAAAAAGTTTCTTTAATTTTTTTTGTAACAATTCGTCATGTTGTTGTTCCCATTTTAGTTTTGTTGGTTGTCCCTTTTTTAACAGTTCAAATAACGAAAAGGTTAGGTCTGCGAGATTGGGGATAAAACTTTCCATAATAGTTAATAAGACCTAACAACGACTGTAGTTGTTTTCTATTTTTTGGTTTTTCAATCTTTAATATTTTTTATACTATTTTATCGTCTGTCTGTATTTTGTTATCATACACTTTATGTCCCAAAAATTCGATAGTTGTGAACGCAATTTCAGTTTTGGTTGGATTTACTGTAAGATTTGCTTCTTGAATTCTCTGAAATACTTTCTCTAACGTTTGGAGATGTTTTGGCATATTGTCAGTATGAATACAGATATCATCCATGTATGCTACTACGTTTTCAACGTTGTTTAACAGTTTTCTTATCATTTTGGTGAAAATTTTTGGCGCATTTAAAATTCCAAACGGAACTCGTAACCATTCTTTTAAGCCTAATGGTGATTGAAAGCTGGTATATTGTATTGATGTCTCTGCCATTGGTATTTGCCAGTAACCTTTACATAAATCAAGTTTTGAAAAAATTTTGGATTTATATAAACTCTGAAGAATATCTTCTGTGCTTGGAATTGGTTCTGAATCTAATTCTGTGATGCTATTGAGTTTCCTGTAATCTACACATAATCTAAGTGACTGATCTTTCTTTTTTACTATCACCAATGGTGAGCTATATGGAGAAGTTGAATCTCTAATTATTTTGTCTTTTTGGAGTTGTTTAATTTCGTTTGTGACCTTGTCCAAATAATGCAGAGGTATAGTGTAATTCCGTGATCTAACTGGGATATCTGTCTTTAACTGAATTTCATACTCTATCAAATTTGTTCGTCCAGGTTTTGTAGTGAATATCTCCTTGAATTTTGAAATGATATTTTGAACTGCATTTTTATCTTGTTCATTTAATTGTGAGTTTATTTTGATGTCTCTCCAATCTTTACTTTTCTCCAGTTCTAGAGTAGGAATTTCGTCCTCTACTGCATCTATCATTTCTTCGTCCACTACGTTACATGCATTTGATTCTTGTACCTCTTCTTTTTCGTCCATCACTGACCTTCGAATGTATTTCTTTAACATATTGAGATGAAAAATTTTCTTTTTGTTGTTCTTTAGGATTTCGTAATCCACATCAGATATTTTTCTGGTCACCTTGTACGGACCTGACCATTCAACTAATAGTCTGTCTGACTTTGCCGGTAACAATACTAAGACTTCATCTCCTGGTGTTAATTTTACAAGTCGTGTTGATCTGTTTGCGTATCTTCTTTGCCAGATTCCTGAATTTTGTAGTGCCGCCTTTGCTTCCTCACATGATGTTATTATTTTATTTCTTAAGTCAATTACAGCTTGGTAGTCATTTCCGGTTGCACTGTTTTCTGCTGTTCCTGTTATTAATTTCTTATACAAAGAAATTGGGCCTTTTGGATTTGCCCCATAGACAATTTCGAAAGGTGACATTCCTGTACTTATATGTGGAACTTCTCTATATGCAAACAATATTGCTGGTAGCAAAATGTCCCATGTTGACGGATGTTCATAAGTTATGCGGCCTAGCATTTTCTTAATGCTTTTATTTAAATTTTTAACTAATCCGTTTGCCTGAGCATGATATGGTGTCGTGAATTGTTGTTTTATCCCTAACAAATCCGTAATTGCTCTCGTTACCACTGATGTGAATTGCGTTCCCCTGTCCGATATTATCACTTCGGGAAATCCAATTCGTGAAAATATCTGTAGCAACACTTCTTGGATATCTTCAGCAGTAATTGTTCTTAGTGGCCAAGCCTCAGGCCATCGACTGGCAAGATCAATAAGCGTAAAGATATATCTGTTACCTTTAGCAGAAAACTACTGATAATGGGCCTATTATATCTACTGCCACTTCTTGAAATGGGCGTGAAGCTAGCTGTCCGCTTTGGACTGGCGCCTTTGGTGTCTCACCTTTTTTTGACGTTCGTAGGCAGATATCACATGATTCGACGTATGATTTGATATCTTTTGAATATCCCGGCCAAAAGAATGATGACAATACTCTTGATTTAGTTTTTGTAACTCCCATATGTCCTGAAAATATGGAGTCATGAGCCAATGATATAGCTTTTTCTCGGAATTTCAGTGGTAGTACTGTTTGTTTTGTGATGCGTCCTCTTTTTGAATAAATTCTCGATAAAATTCCCTTGTCTACTTTGAACTTCCATTCTGCATTTTTTGTTTTTCTCGGTTCTCGTTTTGTTGCTTCAAAGCATTGTGTTAGAGTTAAATCATTTTTCTGTTCCTGGTAAAAATTTTTCCTAGTATTTTCATCTGCCGTAGTTATTGGTATTTGTTCTTTGTGCATGCTTATGGAATGCTCTTGAGTTTGTTGCTTTTTTGTTACACTTCTTGTGACTGCTGCAACGTTTTCTATTTCCTGCAGATTTACACTGTCACTTTTATCTTCCATGACTGCATTTGTATCTTGTCTCTGCGTGGTTAGCATCACCTCTTCTGTCATCTCAGGTATATTTTCTTTCTCCCACTGTTTTATTTCATGATCTGTCATCTCTTTCAGCCCTGGTTGGTTACCAATGATAAGTTCTGCACACGGTGAACTTAATACAGCCATGTCCATCTTCTTAGTGGTATATGGCGTTTTGACCCATACTGATGCTATTCTGAATTTTTCTATTCTACCTCCGAATGTTCTGCATCTAACCACTTTATCAGTCATATCCTCTGGTTTCACTAATGACTTATGTATACCTGAGATCGTCGCCCCTGTATCTCTTAAAATTGAGACGATTCGATTACCAACTATTCCTTTATGTAGGTTTAATTTCCCACAGTCCTTCACAGAATTTGCATTATGCACCGGTATCTTATGTCCACAC